TATATATATATATATATATATATATATATATATATATATATACACAGTATATATACACATACAGTAGCAGTAATGTAATTCAGAATTCTCTTTAGAGCTGGTTTTATTTTGTTACAATGTCTCAGAAATATCCTTATTATCCTTAATTAGACAGTCATGCATAGTGAGAGGTACCAGTGATAATTATTTGAAATAATTTGCACTGTTTTTACCTAGAGTGTTGAACAGGCTGACACTTGAGAGGAAGCAATAATTTTAGGCTGTTTTTAAAATATACTGTCATGGCTGAGGTTAATGGTTGTCTATAGATCTGTTGTTTCAAATGATGAAGCTAGTCTTATGCGGGTCACACTGATAATGACAGGGAGACTTACTCTCACCCTCTGCTGTCTGTAGGTGGTACTGCAGTCCCGAGATTATAACGCTCTCTCAATGAGCGTCATGGCATTTGTTTCAATGATTTACCCCCTTGAGTACATGTTTCCTGTCATTCCACTGTTGCCCACCTGCATGGCCTCCGCAGAACAGGTAACACAACATATTTTTTGAACAGTTGGTGTATAAACAATGAAGCTCTCTTTATTTGTAACACACATATCTTCTTTTTCTAGCTCCTGCTAGCACCCACTCCATATGTCATTGGTGTGCCTGCCAGTTTCTTCCTGTACAAGTCTGATTTTAAGATGCCTGATGACGTTTGGTTAGTGGATCTGGACTGCAACAAGGTATATCTATCTGTAACTACCCACACAGGGGTTTGCGGATTCTACCATGTTGTAAAGCCTTTAGCAATTAATTATGTATATACTATAGTGATCTTATGTTGCTTCTATATCTTTATCAATGTTAGGTCATTGTTCCAAGCAATGCAGAATTGCTCCCTCCCCTTCCTGAACCTGAGGCCTCTGAGCTGAAGAAACACTTGAAGCAGGTAAGCGAACCAGATGTCCTCTTTTCTCGAAGGAGCCCCTACCATTAGCTCTGAATAGGAATTAGATACTAACTGAATTCTAGAAGAAATGCATAGTAATTATACTGTCTTCTAACAGCTGCTGTAAACATGGCCAATTCTAATTGCATTTAAACCAAAGAGAAGGCTGACAATGCAAAGATATTCTTTAAACCCTGTCAATTGAAGCCAAATGCAGACATAAAATTCGACATTTTCTGATGTTTCTAGGGTTTATATTGACGGATTCATATTTTATATGATCACTTATGTATTGTAATGACTGTATATTCTCCCCTTTTTTTTGTTCCAGCTCTTGGAGGTAACAAGTTTTGAGTTTCCCTATCTATAGACTCAATAATGGTTCTAGTTCTCTCGCTTAACCCTTTACAATCCCACATAGTCCCTTATCTAGAGTTTCTGACCTGATTCTGGCACCTCTGAGCTTAATCAAACCCCATTGATACAAACTGTTTAAACATTTCATTGTGTTGTCATATACTGTATAATCTGTATTATACTGTATAATCATTGTCATATACTGACCAACTCTGTCCTTCCTTATGTCTTTTTAATAGAGATGCATTTAATTTGGTCACAATCTGTTGTTTTTGCTGGTCTGCAACAAAATTTCTCAGCCAAATTGATTTACCATTTTGTTTCATCTTGCATCAAACATAATTATCATGCTGTCATTGTAATAACTCAAGCCAAAATAGTTAATACACTGAATCATCAGTTGTGTCTCACAGACCATGATTCGCCATTATGAATCATCATGAGTCAGGTTCTCATCTTCAGATCATTATTGTTCTAAAAGCTGATTTAGATTGAATTTGATCTTTTTCAGTGGTCTATAGATGTACAATATTGCCCTATCATTCATGAAACACACATAGTAGCTCGAGAGCTCCATGAGCCAATATGGAAATCATACTTTTCTTGTGACTGTAATTCAGTTCTTTCTCACTCAGTTAAGCTTTAGATTTTAAGGAAATGTTATGTAACATCCTTACCATCAACATGAAATCAAAATTCACTCTCTTCCTTCCTTAATGCACATTCATAGGAACAAAATGTCATATTTCCACAAAATCTCACTAGAATGTCATTTCTTTTTGGGTAACGTCACCAAAACGAATAACCTGTTTCACTTTTTGTTTGTTGAAAATCCTGTTTCACTCTGAAAAGCATCACATTAATGAAGTATAGGTAAAACAGGTTGAGAATGTCATTTTGAGTTGACTAACACCTACCAAATAATGTTTGCAGTCAAGTTTTGAGATTTGTACACATTCTCCAATGACAAGTTTGTGTGAGATCTGCTTCCCTTTCCACCTGATAACCCACTGATTTTCTTGAGATTGGTGTGTTATATGTCCTGTGTGCACTCATACTGTCCAGTTCATGGTGTGTTGTGTCCTTGCTCTATTTGTCTCTCTGTGCTTTCTCCCCATCCTTGAATTGTCTCCACTCATGTTTAGTCACATGATTTCCCAATCTTTCTCAGTGACAGGCAGTCATGTGACATTTCCTCCATGTTTTCTTGTGTCCGTCAGTGTCTGGTAAGATTGACTGTGATCACCCAAAAGCAGATCTTCGCCTCTGATTCCAAGGTTCACAAATCTTTGCATTTTGACTGTGCATGGAAAAATAACTCTATAATCTCCTCCCCCTTCATCAACACCTGTAGCCCTACACTCTCTGTAAACTTAACAAATACTGAAGCCATACAGATACTTCTTTATTCCACATCCTTTGAATAAACACTCACAAATACACACACATGTGACTCTGTTTGCCGCCATAGCCTCTAACTCTTTGCACTCTTCCCTTCCTTCTCTTTCTGCAATGAAGGCCCTACAGAAGCCCCCTGTATCTCATAGCACTATGTTTGGCTTGAGCATGTTTCAATGCAACATCTCACTTACATTATGCTCATAACCCAAAGCAAAAAAATCATCGTAAGCAGATGATATGATTGGTTTGGTAGCGTGCCGGCCAAATGGCGTGGCGAGAGCAGGGTCTGAATGAATGCCAGCTGAGAGGCATTGAGTGAGCAATGGCAGAATTCCCAGAGTGCTTTGTTAATGGCTCTATGTGATGGCCGCACCCTTCCCTCTAACATTTTGACTATTTAATCTTTGATGCAACACCGTCGGTTCAGGCAATAGCTTTCTCTCTTATCCCCATGTAACATTTTCTGAATTTTAAAGGGATAGTTCACCCAAAAATGAAAATTCTGTCATCAGTTACTCACCGTTATGTTGTTCCATATCCATAAGACTTTCACTCATCTTCGAAACACAAATGAAGACATTTGTAATGGAGCCTGAGAGATTTCTTTCCCTCCACTGAAAGTCCATTTGTGATCCTGGACCACAAAACCAGTCATAAGGGTCAATTTTTTGAAATTGAGATTTTTACATCATCTGAAAGCTGAATAAATCATGTATGGTTTAGGCAATATTTGGCCGAAATACAACTATTTGAAAATCTGGAATCTGAGGATGCAAAAAATTTAAATATTGAGAAAATCTCCTTTAAAGTTGTCCAAATGAAGTCCTTAGCCATGCATATTACTAATCCAAAATTAAGTTTTGATATATTACAGTAGGAAATTTACAAAATATGAATGAATATGATTTTTGGCATAAAATAAAAATCTATAATTTTGACCCATACAATGTTGGCTATTGCTACAAATATACCTGTGCGACTTAAGACTGGTTTTGTGGTACAGGGTCACATTTGACCTAAACATTGACAATAAGGGCATTGTAAAAGTAATCCATGTGAATCTTCAGAAGAGACATAATGGCTTTATATGGTGAACAGATTTATATTAAGATTTATTTATATGATTCATCTATCAACACTGACATAGAGCTCATCAAATATGGTAAACCGAAGCTCAAATGTACTTGTTTAAAGGGGTCATATGATGCTTTTTTTGAGACTTTAGTCTTTGCAACTTCAGGGATCTTATCTATGCACAATCAGCTTGTAACACTCCAAAGAGAAAGGAAAACTTGAAATCGCATCATATGACCCCTTTAATGTGCGTGAACCAATTAGGATTTGTTCACGTTTGAGCTTCGGCTTACCATAAACCGAAATCAAGGCATGTAAATTTTGACAGAATTTACATTTTTGGGTGAACTATCCCTTTAATCTAATCATGCGCAATTTTGTTTAAATAAAAATAGTGACTATGACTTTACCTTTGCCATTCATTAGATCTTTACACAGAAGTTGGAAACCGTAGGCCTCCAATGTGAGACATGATTGCCTGAGGCGATAGTGCTCTTACATCAGTCTCCCCTGTCAGGATTCATTGTTAAATTGATCTCTCCTGTATCCATCTTCCTCCTCCACCTCTCTCTCTCGCTCTCTCTTTCTCTCTCTCGCTCCGTGTCGTCGACTCCTCTATGTAGGCTCTGGCTAGCATGAGTCTGAACACACAGCCTATTCTAAACCTGGAGAAGTTTCAGGATGGACAAGAGTTGTCTTTATTGCCCCCTGTTCGTGACAAAGCCTCCCCGTCCTCCACTGAGTTCAACCCACTCATCTATGGCAATGATGTGGACTCAGTTGATGTTGCCACAAGGTATGATGAAGTATTGCATACTGTATCAAATGTGACATGAATTAGTGGCTGGTAGAGTTGCTAGGTTAATAGAACATGATTTTGGTGTAATTTGAAGTACCAATTGGAGCTAAAAAATAATGATTCTTTCTAAACATATGGAAGACCTGGCCAGAAGCCATAATGTTTGCTTGTAGGCCTCCATGAGTTTCTAAACAATCAATGGGTCTCATTCACTAACGTGTATACATGCAAATTTGTGTGATATCTGCATACAATCGCTTTCATGAACAAATCATGATTCATCAATAACTTTCATATTAAAATAATTTTTTTACAAAAATGTATTTATGAAAAAAGAAAGTTCCTAAATTGTTTGGGAATGTTTGCATATCATTTTGAATACTTCAAATTCATTAACTTTAGAATAAGGTTAAGAACAAATTGTGAATCAGGCGTTAATTTTCCATGAGGTTGTCCTGTGTGTATAAATATGTGTAGTCCACACAATAATTAGCGAATAAGACCTGTTGTTTTTGTTAGTGGTCCAGAAAACACAATATTTGAACCAAGCCTAAAAAAGATACTAATATTTGTACCATTCCGCCATATAAAGTACATAATAGAAATGTTTTTTTTTTTCTTCGAATTTTGCCCTTAGGGTGGCGATGGTGAGGTTCTTCAACTCTCCAAATGTGCTGCAAGGGTTCCAGATGCACACTCGCACTCTGCGTCTCTTCCCCCGTCCTGTGGTGGCATTCCAGGCCACGTCTTTCCTGGCCTCTAGGCCACGGCGGAATGGATTCACGGAAAAGCTCTCCCACACCCAGGCAGTGGAGTACTATGGAGAGTGGGCTCTCAAGCCCACCAACCTGGCTTTCCAAAGGATTCATAACAGTGAGAGACATAGATATACCTCATCATTTGTCCTTAAATTGCTTTGACCCCCCAGATTTGACTGTCACAGTTCGCCCCCTAGTGGCAGTTGTGATGACTTGTCAATTAGTTGTCAATTTCAATTTGTGAAGACACTGACAGTAAGAGAATTTACCCTGTTTTTACTGACCATGGTGGAATAAATGAATAATGTATGAATAGTTGCCCATAAAAATGATCTCCAACACTTTTAGAAGGAACATATTATGGGTTACGCTAAAATGCCTGTTCTGGAGAACTATCAGTTGTTTATTCTCACCTTGTGTAAATAAATCAAATCCGTTCAGAAGGTCACACACCATATAGCTGCACAAGTTACAGTATTTACATATAATACTGTAGTATATTATATATATTTATATACAGTAGATATAGTATGCAAAACCAAAATCACATCTGCAGAGGGTGAGAACTCCACTCAGCCCCCTCTTCAGTTGAGACTTCCAGTCTGTATGCTGTTGTTTGTTGCATTGTAAATAGAGCTTTACACTTACCTGCATTTAGTTTCACTATGAAGACGGTCCATTATGTTTTTCCCATTTTGTGTGTAGTCGGTAATTATACTGGGTGTGTGTGTGTTTCAGATGTGTATGACCCCTCTCTAATAGGCGATAAGCCTAAGTGGTATGCCCACCAGTTACAGCCAGTATTCTACCGTGTTTATGATGGGAGCTCTCGTCTGGCGGAGGCGCTGAGTGGACCCCTGCAGGATGAGACCAATGATTCAGACCCAACAGATGACAGGTTGAAAACACCCAATACACACTCATCCTTGCATACTTTGTACTCACTAACACATATAGACCTTTATACACATTTACCTAAACTCATGCACACATTTTTTTGATTCTTTTTTTACATATACATATATATCTTTTTTTTTCTTTTTTCAAGAATTTAGATGATGAAATAAATCATTTTATTCAGCAAGCATATATTTTCAGTTGTTTAGAAATGAAAGTAAAGACTATTATAGTGTTACAAAAGTTTTCCATTTCAAATTAATGCTGTTATTGTGAACTTTCTATATGTCAAAGAATCCTGACATATAGCACAACTGTTTTCAACATTTATAATAAGAAATAAGCACCAAATCAGAATATTGGCATGATTTCTGAAGGATTATGTGATATTGAACGCTGGGGTAATGGCTGCTGAAAATTCAGTTTTGCCATCATAAAATTACATTTTAAAATTTTATTTTAAATCGAAATATTCTAAAAACAATGCTATTTTTAACTATTTTTGGTCAAATAAATGCAGGCTTGGTGAGCATATGACACTTCTTTCGAAAATATTACAAATCTTTAAACGCATGCATTTTTGTGTTTAAACTGTTTTTGTCTGTTTAAAACTATATTATTTGTTGCTGTTTATTTCAGTGGCAGTGACAGTGAAGCATACGATGACTCCAGCTCTTCCTACTCGTCTCTTGGAGACTTTGTGAATGAGATGATCAAAGGGGAAATACAAGGGGACACACCAAGTTAGCTTCTCCATTTTTAATCTTTTTCCTGACAATAGATTCTTCCTCTTACCTCTTCTTACCAATAATGGCTTCATAATTGTTATGTTTACACTCTTTCTAGATGTTGACACCCTGACCCATGCTGCACTGGGAGACGCGGATGAGGTAGAGATCCATGACTTCCAAGAGTATAAGGGGGACAACGGTGACCCAGATCCAGAAGCCCCCCCGGAAGCAGCGGACAGCCAGCCACTGCGGTCCAGCTCCAGCACGACGGCCAGTTCCAGCCCCAGTACAGTCATACAGGGCGTCAACCATGTCCGTCCTCAAACTACATGTTATCTGAATCTAGAGGTAAGCATAATGTGCTGTGATCTGTAAAGAGTGTATGTGTTTGTTTGTGTAGGAACAGAAGGAACCTGCTGAGGTGGAGGCGACTGCAGGCGTAACCCTCCCTAACTCTGTCCCAGGATTGGGAGCTCCACCTTTTACAAGACCCACTCCTGATCCGGTCCCTGTTGACCCAGCCAATAAAAGGCGAGAGTATGATAATCCCTATTTTGAGCCCCAGTATGGCTTCCCTTCAGAGGAGGATACTGAAGCAGATGAGCAGGAGGAGAGTTACACACCGCGATTCAACCAGAATCTCAATGGCAACAAGTATGTACTTGGAGATAATCCTACACAAACACTCAGAATCTATATATCAGCTGCACAGACCAGCTCTCAACATCCTCTCCTTGAATTGTGTGTGTGTTCAGACCGTCTCGTCCATTGAGACCCAGCAGCCTGAAGCTTCCGGGTGAATCTGATGGGGAGGGAGACTCCAGAAATAGCTCTCCGAACTCCACCATCTCCAACAATAGCAGCGATGGCTTCGGGGGACTCATGTCCTTCGCCAGTGAGTGGCCAGCTTAACATAACCTCTATTCATTCCTTAGTAGCTCATGCTCACGTTGCAAATTTGGACATAAAAATACTGAAAACACAAATGAATGTTTGAAGATGTTTGCTTGATTTTTTTGACACATTTTCTGTCTAGACAAAGCTAGAAATAACGCTAACAGAATTGAGAAATACTAGAAGATTACATTGCATTCTTTCAACTTTAATATTTGTTAATACACTACCGTTCAAAAGTTTGGGATCAGTACATTTTTTTAAGGATTTGATCAAAAAACAGTAAACAAAAGTTTATCATGTGACACTAAACACTGGAGTAATTGCTGCTGAAAATTCAGCTTTGTCATAACAGCAATAAATTCGATTTAAAAATCTGTTTAAGTAGATTCTTTTTTTATTGTAATATTATATTGTATGTATGAATTATTTTGTAATAATTATTTTACATCATAATAATATTTCACAATTTTATATA